CCAACCCCCCCCCCCAAAAAAACTGACCTATTCATTTGCAGCTTCCTTTTTGGCAGTTGACACAAATTGGGAGGCGGAAATAGAAGCAGTAGATTTGCGGGATTAAAAGAAGGGCAGAAATATCTTTTTGAGGCAAATATGAATGCTGCAGTCATAGAATGCCAACATAAAATTAAACCACAAAAATATGTATGACTTTTTCTTGTAAAATTGTAAATTTAGAATTGTGACTATTCCCATCAAATTGACCTTTGACCTTTTCTCTCAAATATTTGACTATATTACAACATTGCTTACCCCCCCCCCCCCCCCCACACACACACACACACACACACACACCGTTTTTTGAGAGTTATATTCAGCAATGTTCATTTCACATTGACAAAATTGCACTTCACAACCGTAGCAGAAAAAAAACAAAACAACTGTTCGTTAGTGTGCTTTAACGAGGTACAAATGCACGTTTTCGCCCCATCTTCATCATCAACATGCGCCTCAGCTTCCAGGACCCTTAAGTGTTTGTTAACAACAACAAGCTGCTGAGCAGCGGATGATCAATGAGGGCAAGGCTGCAATCCATCAGTTTGCAATACGTTTGTGTCCCCCTTCCCCTCCCCTTCCCTCCTCCACTGCCGCCAAAGGCACAACAGCCCTCACCTCCCCGCCCCGCCCCGCCACGCGCTTACGCAGAAATCCGCTGAGTCGGGTCGAACATAAAAGCTCGGCATCCATTTCATCAGCTTTGCACACAAAAGAAACCTTCTCTCCATGAGTCATTTATTCCCATCGCCCCCTGTATGATTTCCCCGCTATCAAAGTACCCCGCCCCTCCCCGCCTTCGTCGACGTCAGACCTCAAAGCGTCACGTCGAGGTTAATTGTCTTACAAGGACGGCCGACTAGCATAAAAATCGTTACGTTGTGATGGAAGGTGACCCCCAAGTCAGAACTAGCCGCCTATCAAACTAAGGTCAAACAAGCCCTCGTTCAAGGTCATTTTTTCTTTTTTTTTTTTTTTTATTTAAGCATCTCAACAACAAGCTCTTAAAGCAGGCACAAATCAAGTCAGCACTATTGTCATGCTGCTTCTAGTTTTTCTGGCAGTTCTGTGACTCCTCCTGCTGGCCGCCAGGGTAACGACATGCTTTTAAACCTGTTGAATGAAGTTTACAAAGACTTGACGGAAACGTTCCATGGGACGTTTAGCTTGGAATTGATGGTAATCATTTTAACAATGAAAATATATTTTATAGTTTTACAAAAATCAACATGCACAATTTTGTTTTATGAATAATTCAATCTGCAATGTGTTTGTACTCCACGATGTGGAGGATAAATCACAACATGAAAAATATTCTCCCTGCACCCCCAATATTTAAGCGGCCAAAAGTACAAATCCATATCCGGGATGCTAAAATTATATCAGCTCTATCAGTTTTGAAAAAAAATCAAAGAGGATGTAATCTTGAATGTAACTGACTCTATTTTTGTGAAAACATCAAAGACATTTCGGTCTTCAACTCTTTTACACACAGCTAAAGAGTCTTCAACGTACATAGCACATGTAGTTGTGTCACCATCAAAGATGTTTTTTCTTCCATTCTCTTGAGCGTATGTGTTTTTGAGAACGTCAAAGACGTTTGGGCCTTCAACTCACGCTCTCTCTCACTCGAGTTTTGACACTCCCATCGATGATGATGTCTGTTTTCTTGAGGTGTAACGATGGCGTTGTTGTGGCAGGAGCGCCAGCTTCTCGCAGGCCACGAGAAGCAACGTTTTCCTGGGCAGCGACTCGGCCGTCCAGAAGCTGTCCCACGGCTTCTCGCACTGCCTCAACGGGATGGGCGCTCAGCTGCACGGCTTCTACAGCCTCCCCAAGCCCGGCAAGCAGCAGCAACTGCCGTCCGCGCCCGACGATTCCCCTCAGGAGGCCTGCTACGTGCTACCCCGCGGCTACGAGGCCCACGGCGGCCCTCCCGAGCTGGACCTGGAGAACGAGGAGGTGTACTCCTTCCAGACGCCCTGCAACGCTCTCGCCGCCGCCGAGCGGCCCACCGACAACTACGACCTCCCGACGCCGCCCGGCTCCTTCTACCAAATACCGCGGACGTTTGATAAGAACCACAACGCGCTGACGCCGTCCAGCTCCGAGTCGTCCTGCGCGCCCCCGCCCAGGCCGCCCAAGCCCGGCTCGGACGGGCAGTGGGGGAGTCCGCACTCGCTCGGGAGCCAGAATGGCGATGCTTCGGCCGCCATGTCGGTCATCCCCAGAAGGAATACGCTACCCGCCGTGGAGAACATTAGACTGCACAGAGGTACGTAGTGCAGTGCTTCACATAGTTGGTGAGGGACTGAAGTTGGTTTCAGAGAATCCATCCGGGCTTTGGCGCCATCTTGTGGCATTTTAGGGAGTTTCAGAAAAAGCACAAAAGACATGGTTGGCTTGGTCTACCTGTCAGAGACAACAAAAAAAAAATGCAAATAGTGGACCGCAGATTGGTGGAGATTTAATTGTACTTTCTTGTTGATAGGCTCTTCCTTTGAAACGAGCAGCCATCAGCGTCCTATCCATTTCAACAGCTCAGGCCAGTCTGTGGAGTCAGTCAACGACGGCTATAGCTCGTACCTGGTAAGTCGCCCAAATAAACATTGAATATACTTTTATACGTTTTCCCGCCCCAAAAGGTTCTTGTCACTGCATCAATTGAATGGCCATTGTGCCACTCTTGTTGGTGTCTGGCTACCTGGGGGAAGTAGAAGACTGACAGAGGGCTATATTCTTGAGACATCTTAACTCCTCTCAGCTCATCAGTACGGCACTAATATTAGTCACTCTTTGCAGAGGATAAATAATGCATGTTTGAGTACCTATCAATTGTCTGTCTCCGTTTTTATTCAATCCATTGCTAAAAGGGTTGGAGCACCGCAACATAGATGCTGATTTTTTTTTTAATACAAAAAGTATCATTCTCTTTGTTTAAAGTTGAGTTTGACAGTAAACTTCAACTGGGTGTGGCAAAAATCAACTCTAAGCCTTTGAAAAAAACAATCTTGCTAATTGCATCTGCCAAACTGCTGCTTGTTGTAAAGTGAGTTGAGTCACTCCCAAAATTCCGCACTCGCAAATCAAAAAAAAATAAAAAAATCTAAACTGGAGTCATTCGTATCTCAAGGAACCCACGTAAATCATATTCGCACCAATAAAGTGCAATCAGACAAATTCCCGTGGCAGCGGCTGTTAATCACAATTACTCAACCTGTGCGCCCTTCCCAGAGGACCAGAACCCCCCTGACCCGCTCGGACAGCGGCAACTCGGATGACAACTACGTGCCCATGAATCCCGGCTCGTCGCCGCTGAGCGCCGCCCAGGCCGACAGTCCCAAGAACGTGTACATCCCCATGAGCCCCGGGCCGCACCACTTTGACTTCCCGGGCTTCTCGGCCACGCTGCCCACCCGCAAGGGCAGCAGCGCCTCGCTGTGCCACCGGCCCGGCCGCCTCAGCGACGTCACACCGCCGCCCATCAATCGCAACCTCAAGCCCAACAGGAAGTGTGAGTGGCGGCAAGATGTGTGTCGAAACCACTGATTGTAATTTAGTCTTTTGGTCTGGACTCTAATATACATGTACATTTTCTGAACATGAAAGACAATTTAGTCTCCAGCATTTTTTTTTGCTGATCGTGCCGGCCATCTTGGAATTGGACTCTGAAATGGTGCTGACAGTGCGCTTTTGTCTTCCGCAGCCAAGCCAACACCTCTGGATCTGAAGAACAACGGCTTCATTGATGAGCTGCCGTTTAAGAGCCCGGTCACCATGTCCTGGACGCGGCCCATGTGAGTCTCACCCAAGTGTCTTTCACGCACGCACGCACGCATATGTTCGGCAAATATGTATAAATATCAACTGGAACCACCACAGGCCCGCCATGAACTCCGTGTCGTCGCAGCGTTGTCGCCCCATCTCCACGCAAAGCATCACCAGCACCGACTCTGCAGACAGCGAGGAGAACTACGTGGCTATGGTGAGTGCCTCCAGGACTCGCGTCACATGACTCGACGATGACATTTAACTCGCGTTGTGGAACTCGCTTGTCGACTGAGATATGACTTTGACGTTATACGATCTAGCGTAGACTTAACTCGACTTATGACGACCCGACTGACCGTTGTTAACGCTTGTCCTGCCCCCAATAGCAAAACCCAGCGTCTACCTCGCCAGCCGTGAGCGGCACCAGCAGTCCGGCCCTTCGCAAGAGCGGCAACGTGGACTACCTGGCGCTGGACTTCCAGCCTGGCTCGCCCTGTGCACACAGGAAGGTAAAATTCTCTTCAACTGCATCTTGAATTGCTTACTTTGTTGGATTTATCAGGCATAAAAAAAATAAAAAAATCTGCCACATATCCAAACATCAAAATCTCGATTCCACATCATGGCCGCCTTGTCACTCATGTGTTTTGGTCACTCGGCAGCCGTCGACGTCGTCGGTGACGTCTGACGAGAAGGTGGACTACGTGCTGGTGGACAAGGAGAAGACGCAGGCGCTGCAGAACACCATGCAGGAGTGGACCGACGTGCGGCAGTCTACTGAATCCGCCAAGGCGGTCAAGTCTTGACACTGAGTACATGTGACGTGTCCATTACTGGGAAAGGGTGTGGTGGGGGGTGTTGCTGTTCGGACCACCCAAAAAGCCATAACTTAGAGTACCTATGCCTGTTCTCTGCCATAATTTATTTTTAACCTTTGTATGGACCAAATATGAGCCCTTTGTGGCAACGCAATTTTTCCCCATAGCTGCCCCCTCCTCTCAAATTCTCCTTTTAGAATCAACAGAGAACTGCGTGACACTGCTGTCGCCATTTTACTCCATTTTGATGACGTAAAAGGATCTCTTGATTGGCTTAGTAGGCTCAAAACGCACAAGGCGTTTGTCACTATAAGCCACTATGAAGAAAAATAGACATTGAGGACATAAACGCAGACAAGGAGGACAGCAATGTAAGGTGTCCAATAGTGTGGCACCGGGCCCTCTCTGCTGCAGGGGCTGTGCCCAAATACCAAATGTTAAACGCAAGTGTGGTCCAGTTGCCGACATAAGCAACGTTTTGTTTTTTTTTGCTATATTTAGCATATAGCAACTCTAGCCACTCCAATAAGCACGTTTCCACACAGTCTTTCCGCTCTCCTTATGAAATTAGCCTGTTTTGAGGGGGCGGCCCGATGTCGTGCGAATGAGCCACTGCTCACCCCCCTGCCTCGAATGCAGCGGGTGCTTTTGACCTGATGGTGATTGCGCGTAGTCTGAAAGCGGAGGATCTTGCCACAGCGCAGCTGCCAAGTCATGGGTGGACAAAGTTGGTTTTGGGGGTGGGATTATGTGAAGGACAGTTTTGATGTCACAATTGGGCAAAATTCTGAATGGCTGAGCGAGCTCACAAACTCGGTTGTAGAAAAGTTGGAGACACCCGATTTTTTATATACAAGAACAAAAAAAAATTATCTGGTTTACTTTATATGGCAAAATGGAGCCCAAACAAGAGTTGAACCTTTAGGAATAAAAGTCGCAAACAGTCCAAGTTTTGGTCAAACCCGAAACACTACGAATGTTTCAGAGGTTGTGCGATTTTGTGAGTCGGCTCAGTTTGTATTTGAAGCCAAAGCCGATTGAGTCGAGGCAAGGCGAGTTGAATACCGCGTCCACGATGCCTGCCGTGCACTGACCTTACCAAGATGGCCGCTCCCTCGCCATACAAGCCATGTAGCCATGCGCTCAGGCGCCTGACAAAGTGCACTCACGGAAAGAAAATGGCCCCTCTTCAAGTCAGAGCGTCCACGGGTTTGAATTGCCTTACTCCCACATGATTGATTTGCCTTCCTTTGGTCTTTTTGTCGCATTTAGGCACAAGTCCAAGTGTTTGATTCGAACGAAAGCCACTTTGCTAGCTTAATTGCCTCCTCATGGTTTTTCTACCAATTTTTACTGCTTTTTATATACATTTTTTAAAACCTTTTTTCCCCTACTCTCAAGCAAGCTCTACGAAGTAGTATTAAGTCCTCACTGAGAAGACCAAAAAAAAAAAAAATCATGCGATGAGATTGAAGTCGTAATTTTATGAAAATTAATTCAGAACTATTTTTTCCAAATGTTTTTAACCCTTTCATGCACCAATATTGATGACCTGTAACCTGATAACATGATAAGCTGTCCACTGTAGTGACCGTTGTCCCTGAAAGGGTTAATGGTGGCCTCGTAAACGTTTTTTAACACGTGAATGTCAAAATCTGCCCACACGTCTGAGCCAACCATTCCTTCTCGTGCCCTTGCAAAAGTTCGACTTTTTTCTCATAAAATGTCAAATATTTCCTCGTCCATAATATACCTTTTTTTTTCTTTTAAAAATATACAACTTTACGTTTTGAATGTTAGAGATTAATTTCTTTACAATTATTTCACAGACTATCATCCTAAAATTACATTTACGTTATTTTTTTCTTCATAAAAAATTAAGATTTGTTGCTTGGAAAATATATGACTTTTGTTTTACAAATGTAAAAACATTTTTTCTCAATTATTTACTGTTGTAAAATCGTTTTAAAAAGGACTAATCTTGTTTTTCACAAAAATATTTTTTTTAATCTCTAAAATGCGACTTAATTCTCGTAATATTCCAACAAGTGTTGAAACTAAATAACAATCTAAAACACTGTTTTTCTTGTCCCCAAAACAAAACTTTATTCACACAAAATTACAACTTTAATCTCATCATGTTTCATTATGGTCGTCGTCCTCCTTCGCAATATTCCAATCAGGGAGGGAGGCAAAATGAAGCGCATAGTTTTTCTTACAGTTGTGCATTTATATTCCATGTGATTGACTGTTTGATTTTTTCTTTTTTTTTTTAGATGAAAAAAAACGTTCAGGTGGGCAGTTTGCATGTGCAGAGCAAGCAAAATTGAAACAAATATATCAGACTGTTGGAAAACGAAATGGAAGCCGCTCATGATGTAATTTATAATCCATCAGACGAGCCGCGCGTGTGTGTGCGTGCGTGCGTGTGCGTGTGATTGTTGTGTTATTAGACTGTGATCGTGCTAGCGTGTGACATGATGGCGGGGGGGGAGGGAGGGGACGTACTGTACTTGTAGACGTGATGTTTGTTCTTCTTGTTTCCTTTTTAACCACTGGTATTGCTACTACTGTAAAAGCATTTGCTCCGGTTTGTTTGTGTGTACAGTATACGTGTGTCTTAATTTATTAATTTATTGTGTATCCGCCCAAAGTCGAAGGGCCTTTCTCTCTTTCTGCAGTCGCCGGCCGCATTATTAGGTACACCTGGTGCCACCACCGCAAATAACAGGCACGTTGTTCCATGGATAATAGTGGGCATGATGACGAATCGGCGTTTTGGATCTCACGATGAGGTTGTGCGGGTGTGCCTAATGAAGTGTCTGGCGAGTGCTCCTGTCCCGATGGTGTGAAGCAATACGAGAAGAAGAAGTCAGTGTGGTGCAGCTCATGGAGACTTTGTTATTCCTGATGTATTATGGTCAACTGTGGATGTAGAATAAATCGACAAGTCAGCGTCTTCTTGTAAGTCTTTTTTTTTTCCCCAACGCTAAGTCACAGATGCACAATTTATATGAACGCGTCCTTTCAAGATACAGAAAAGAACATTTGTGACTGTGAGAGCGACACACGCGAAAAGAAGTGGTGTCTCTCTGTCAATGAAATGAAGGGTAGGGACATTCCACTTGTGTCAACGGGATGCATTTTTGCATACACTCAAAGTATCGAATGACACTACTTAAGTATCGAATTGCCGAACCGTGAATTTTGTGTATTGTTGCACCCTTTACATCCTTTCATGGATAATATGCATTGTATACAAAACACTGTAAAACTACATGAATTTTCAATGTGTCATTTTATCTGACGACTACAGATATATATGTAAAGGTAAAACTGAAAAAATATATATACTGTATATGTTCATCAAATAATGCAATGCAAAAGATGATAAAATTATCTTTTTTTTTTTTTTAAGGTCATATGAGGTCCTCCAAAATCAAATGTTACAGTAATGACTTAATGTTTTTATATTAATGGATAGATGGATAGAATTAAAAATTGGTTTCATGGTGGTGGACTGGTTAGTACATCCGCCATACAATGCAGAGGCTCTGGCCTTCCTGTGTGGGTGTTCTCCGGGTACTCCGGTTTCCTCCCACATTCCAAAAACATGCATGGCAGGCTGATTGAACGCTCAAAATTGCCCCTCGGTGTGAGTGTGAGCGTGAGCGTGCTATGAAACTTCACACGTTTCCTCATGTGTCCACCAGATGGCGCCAGTGCGCTGCCACCTACTTCCTCGTGTCCGTGCGCGCGCGCGCCACCTCGCAGCAGGCATCACGTTAGCACAATGAGACTCTCTGTTGCCTCATGCACGCGCACGCACGCACTTACACTGCCGCTGTCAATGGACTGTTTGAGAAGGAGCTCAATCCAAGGACACGCCGCGCGAGGAAAGAACAAGACGAACTCCGAGTGGATTCTGTGTAGTTTTCGACGACTTTTTCACTCGGCACTCCCCCCCCAAGACGATTTTTCGGTGACCCAGCGAGGAGCACGTGACCGTGACTGTGAATGGAAAAGGTGTCAATGACGATTTGATTGAATCCGAGAGTGGATTAAGTGCTTTTAATGAGACGTTCCCCCCTCGCAGGACGCCAATTCATCGTGTGACTTTTTCAGTGTGTCTTTATCGCACTTTGGAGCCACTTGTGTCCTATTTTTGCAGGATTTTTTTTTCCCACATGGGATCTTAGCAGAGTAGTCTCCTTTCAAAGCCAACCCCATCGAGCCCGACCTCCCCTCGCCCCCGGATGGGAGAGGCGACCCCGGCTCAGTCCGCCGCCGCCGCCGCTGGCGCCTTCACCCC